ACAATGTTCGCTGGGTATAGTCGTATAGCTCAGAATTGTCTTACAGTTTATACAGTTTAATCAAAATTACAGTGGTGCGCGTCTAAGTAACATAAAACGTTCAGTGGGGTGGCCTCCTCCCCGGGAATAACAATAAACATAGTCTTTGCTTAATTAATGTATATATTCTACTGCAGAAGGCCGAGCGTGTCAATACAATCAAAAATATTTATGTGCAAGAATTTACATTAATAATGACATATTTATATTCCTAAAACCTCTATTTGTGCTCATATAATCTTTGTTTGTATTCGTAAAAACTAATTTGTACTAGTAATACAAAATAGCTTTTGTTTTTGAAAATTGCAGTTGTATTCGTAAAATTCATAAATCATTTATTTTTTACTTGTAAAATATGTAATAAGTTAGTATATATTTTGATAGATTTGTGTTTATGAAATCATCGCTTTTCCTTATCGACATAGTTCAACATAGGTCCCATAATGACGGCAAGTGTCAGTTCGATTTGAGTGCTTTGCCAAGCCATCGAATTATAAGTCTATGGCCAAGCAAAACTAAATGGTTTTGTGGAATGATGATTCGTCTGTCGGGGTGAGCGACATCGCCGGTGTACAAACCAGACGATAACACAACGGTGCGACCCTCTTCGCAGATTATAGAGTATATTTCTCTGTACGCCAGCCCATGGCATTGGTTGAAAAACAAAATAAATACTCTGATTTAGACCAACAAAATACCTTCTACCGAAGATTACATGTTATTGATTACTCGACTACAACTTGACTTTGTATTTTAATTCTATAATTATACTATCATTATTATCGCACATACTTTTCGACTATAGTATTAATAATGTCATCGTAATGCACGATTATATCGTGCATGTTTTTTTATAGATTTTTTCAATTAAATATGTGTATAAATGGTGAACGCCATGTTATCACGAAACTAACAAGGAACTTGTTGTGACCCTTTAAGTATGTGATGCAGTGATTGGCGTCATCGTTAAGATCGAAATTGGAGTTACATTTTCATAAACAAACATTCATTCGGATAGTTTACTAAAAACTGCGCCGTAACTGAAATTCTCCTGCTTACATTTCACAATTATGGTACATTACAAGACTGCGTTGACTAAAGAATAAAGAATAGTGATATCATCGATGCGTACACTTCTAGTAGCGATTTGTTTG